ATAAAATAGAAATTTGTAACATAAATCAAAGAAGATGATAATTCAAATTGTAAAAAACTCCACTGAAAATGTTTATCCTATGTTTGTAGTGCTTTTTTGAGAATGTAAGTCTTGACACAATTTAACAATCACCCCCTCCCACTTATTTTTACATTATTTATATTTTATCTTGCATAATCACTAATAAAAATAAAATAAAATAGTTACTTTTTCTATAATGACTTCCTTATTTTCTTGAGCTACACATTTGTGACCTACATTGTAATGTTCAAATCACGTGGTAGAGTGGTAACAACTTTTGTGTATCTCTTTACTATATTATTTCAACTTGATCATAGATCAATTCCATTAGTGATAGGGATGGCAAAATGGGTCAGCCTATCCCGTTTTGGCTCATCCCGTCTTTGGCCCATCAAAAGTAGGGCGGGACGGACTACAGGTCTCGGCCCACCCCGCCAAATGGTGGGCTGACAGGCTAGCAATTCCGTAGGTAAATTACCTATGACCGGATTTCCTATGAAAAAAAATCCGTAGGTAAAATGACATTACCTACGGATTTTTGCCGTAGATAATAAGTTTTTTTTTTTTGTAGTGGATATTCGTTATAAAAAAAATGAAAAAAAAAGTAAGAGAAAATATTAATAAAAAATAACAAAACAATAAATTAAAATAAATAATAATAATTTTATTTTTAGTTTAATAATATTTTCTAATAATTTAACTAATTAAAAATTAAAATAAAATTTGATATTTATAATAAAAATAAGATATATTTAAATCATTGAATTAAATTAAATTTATAAAGAACAAATAACATAAAATAATTTGAATTTTCAACAAAAGTTGTAACATTTAAACCTACTATTAATGATAAAATAGAAATTTGTAACATAAATCAAAGAAGATGATAATTCAAATTGTAAAAAACTCCACTGAAAATGTTTGTCCTTTGTTTGTAGTGTTTTTGAGAATGTAAGTCTTGACACAATTTAACAATCACCCCCTCCCACTTATTTTCACCTTATTTATTTTTTATCTTGCATAATCACTAATAAAAATAAAATAAAATAAAATAAAGCAGTTACTTTTCCTATAATGGCTTCCTTATTTTCTTGAACTACACATTTGTCACCTAACATTGTAATGTTCAAATCACGTGGTAGAGCGGTAACGGCTTTTGTGTATCTTTTTACTATATTATTCCAACTTGATCATAGATCAATTCCATTAGTGATAGGGATGGCAAAACGGGTCGACCTATCCCGTTTTGGCTCATCCCATCTTTGGCCCATCAAAAGTAGGGCGGGACGGGATACGGTCTCGACCGCCTCGCCAAATGGTGGGTTGACAGTGCTAGTAGGTCAGGCTCGTCATATTTCTTATTTTAATATTTTTAAATCAAATCTTTCAATAAATTTAATAGTAAAATTATCATTGTCAACAATTTAATATATATATATATATATATATATATATATATATATATATTTCAAGTTAATGATATAAATTGATATATTATTTAAATAAATTATATTTTAGAACAATTAAATTAAGATAAAATTTATATAATAATAAATACATGTATATAACGAGTAAAATTTTATTAAATCTTTATTTTTTATATTGAAAAGTTTAAACATTAAATGAAAATTACATTATATTTATTTATTTGATAAAACTTCACATAGTTCTCCCATTGAGTAATTTTCACATCTTCAATTCAAAACAATTAATGTTCGGGATCATTAGATGCGGTATTTGAAGATCTCTCCAGTTTTTCATCTTTGTCATTTTCTTCCTCATCTTCAACCACACACAAAATTGAAGAAAGAAAAAAAATTAGTAAAAAAAGGATTATAAAAAATAAAAATAAATAATATTTGAATTAAATTAATTACCTTCATAAAAGTCATGCTTCCAATCTGAAGTACAAATTATTGCTTCTACATTCTCAGACAAAAGACGATTTTTGTACTTATTAAGAATCCTAAAACCAATACCGAATACTGATCTTGAAACAACTATAGTAATATGTATACTTAACAAATCCCTAGCCAATAATAAAATATCGAAAAACGTTGACTATTATTCTTCTACCATTGTAGAACATCCATATGTTTAGTAAAATCAAAATCCAATGTTGGTTCATCCAAATATACATCAAGTTAGTTTCTTCTAATTCTGGATGTAGCTTGAAGCTTGTGTTTCTTTAATTTCTAAAAAGATAAATAAATTAAGAAGTTAAAAATATTAATTGAAAATTCATAAAAAATAATTGACTTTCTGATTCTTTGTATTGTATTACAATAAAAAAATTATTAGTAAAACGGATCAGCGGGCTTATCCAGTCCCGCCAACTTGTCGGGCCAACCCGCGGGCGGGCCAAAATGGGTTGACAAGCTAAAAATATTAACTCATCCCACCGGACTTGACCCGTTTTGTCATTCCTAATTAGTGATAATTGGTTCCATTAAGGAAAGGAGAAACAAGATTGGCAACCACATTTTCTCTAGGTGAAAAAAAACTTATATTTATCATGTTTTACTTTTTGAACCATAATAAAAAACAAAGAAAAAAATTTTTAAGTAACGCGTTAGAGTTCTTCAAATAAATGATATCATAATAATAAAAAGAAAAAGAAAAATGAATCACATAAAAAAATATTTAATATTATCATGTGTAATATAATACAAGACAATTTTATATATAAAAAGAATAATCATGATGGTAATAGACAAAATATAAAAAGCATAATCAACCTAAAATATAAAAAATTGTACCAACTTAGGAAAATGAAGTAATGTATCAATAAAACCAAGATGAGAAAATATGTCAAAGCCACCTAATTTGTCTTGAAGCAGAAAATGGCAAAAATAAGGAGAATCAGTGGGTGAGGAAAACGTATACGCAACAAACGAGAGACAAACATCTACTAATTTTTTTCCTTGGTTCAAGAATTAAAGAAGAAACATGAACCACGAGGTTGCTGTTGCTGTTTCTCACGCATTTATAAGTAGAGCTGGCAAAGGAAGACCCCATAGCCTCCTCACTCATTCATACTGGAAAATCACTTAAATAAAATTATCAATTTTAATTTGATTTATTTAATGTATGATTTAAATGGACTTAAATATGTCAAATTCATATATTTATAGATCAACTTATTTTTTTAAATCTTATTTTAAATTAAATTAAATTAAAATATCATGATATAAGATTAAACCGAACTCATTAAAATAAAGCGAGGTCCCACCGATTTTTCATCTTTATGAACAATGACACGTTAAGTTCGTTGAGATCTATTATTGCATAATCATTTGAATGTTAAAAAGTCGCATAATTAATTGCACATGTCACATTCTGACATACCAAAAGAATTGAACTCAAACTTCTAAATAACTAAACTAAATTAAAGTTTAAAAAATATCTATTTAAAAATAATCTAATCTTGATTTTTTCTACAACCAATTTTAAAAATATAATTAAGGTAATGTTATATAAATAAAGTTTGTGGTAGTTTTATGGAAGAATAAAAATGAAATTTATCTGAACTGAAGTATATCCAAATCAAGTTAATTAATCACTATCTATGTAAAGGACAGTTGTTCAATAATTAAAAACTGTTCACAATTTTTTTTTAGTTTGAAACAAAAGAGAGAGTTTGTATAATAGGAAATAATAAATGGTGGATAGGAAATGATTGGGGTAGCTAGCAGTTGAGAAAATGGCCAAAAAATTAGGTCAAGTTTTCAATTAAAATCAATTAAAATATTTTTAATTTGATCTAAGCTTATATTAGAAAATTTTATTTAAATAAGCAATAATAACTCAAAGATTTGTTGGGTTTGGTGTTTGGGGATGGGATGACAATTAATTCACACGGACAAAACTATTATCACCTCAAGATTATTGAGAAAAAATGGAATTGATGGGGATAGGAATATAAGCGGAGATGTTTAAATTTAAGTTCTAAAATTTTAATATCTTAAAAATATTTCAATTTCTTTCTTATATTTTATAATTTTTTTTATATTTTACACTTTTTATTTTTTTTCTACCAATTTTTTAATTTTTTATCTTTTTTTAAATTATTTATTAGATCAATTAATTCATTGTGTTTTTTTATTTTATTATCTTTATCTTCTTCACAATTTTTTTAATATTTTCAATTAATTTAATTTTTCTAATCTTTTAAATGAATTTGACAAATACAAAATTAATTTTTCTTCTTCTTTATTTTTTTTATATTTTACATCAATCTTAGTAGTAACTAATATTATTTTATTAAGTTTTATTAGATTATATATTTTAAGATTTTATTATTTCTATTTGTTATATATCAATTTTTTAATAAAATAAATATATTTTGAAATATTAAAAATAATTGATAATTAAAATTTTTATCACTTTGAACTAATTAAATAAAAATTAACTTATTAAATATTTAAATACATTATTATGATATAATAATAATAATAATAATAATAATAATAATTTTATAAGTATTTTATATCCGTAAATACGTTTTACCAATATATATTATATATATATATATATAATAAATTAAAATATATACTTAATTAGTAATAATAATTAAAAATTATAAATATTTATTTTTATAAAAAGTATACTACAAAATATTAATATTCATTTATTATAAGTGTAATTATTTTATAGAAATAATATGAAATGAGAACGCGTCGAGAGTGAAAGTCCGAAACCCAACGAAGATAAAGACTAAATTTTTAATCCTAAGGATCGAAGAGAGAGACAAAACCCGTATACCAAAAATAAATTTCACCATATTATATATTTCATATATCATTGTATATCATATATCATATATCACATATCATATATTTTATATATAAAAACAAATATGTATAAAAAACCATAAAAATTCCCAACAAATACTCCCAATTATGACAAACTTGATGCACATCACCTCCCTGAACAGAGAAAATAGCTCAAAGAAATTCCTTCTGCAAATTTGATTGGTGTCAGTGTATCTGATCTGAATGTGTTTTCTTTTTCTCAACAAGGAATGGTTTGAACATCATTAGTAATCCAACTGCTTCAACAATGTTCAGGATAAAGAACACCATATGTGTGCCTGCAGTTAAATGTATAACAGTAAGGACCTAGCAATATAATGCAACTAGCAAAAGAACCAATACTCTTCATAACTATATTGACATCATAGTCTAGCTATACATTAGTATATATAGTACACACTAGTCAATTGTGCACAAGCATTCTGTCCACTCAAACACAAACAAAGTAGATCAAGAATTCACATGTTATTTACTACTAGAAAAATCATATTTAGTAAGGGAAGAAACGTCATTAAGTAAACAAATCTGTCACTAATTTTAATTTTTCTAGTAGTGTTTGATTGTGCATTCTCTTTTTCTTTTTGAGATCAACACAAATAAATGCAATATCTGAACTATGGTAAACACAGATTAAAGGGTGCTACTTATAGCTTTTGTTGTTCGCAGTGAAAAGAAAAACTATATCTTTGAAGTTATACAAAGGATTCAAGTCTGCCATATATAAAACAGAAAGCAGGACAATAAATTAGTTTAACATCACACCTGGGAGGAATGCAGCATCTATTCGCTTTTCCGACCAAGCTAATCTGCATTGAAGAAAATTGGAGATAATTTATACTTGTAGTCAGAATTATGTGGCTAAAATCCACTACTAATGAAAAAATTGTCAACTGCTAACGGATCAAAGTGGATTGACAGTAATTTTTACTAGATATCCATAAAAGGCTTTTGTGGTATGGTTCTCTCACTGTTCAGGATCTTTATGGCAAAATTAGCTAGGGGCAGAGAGTTTAAATTCTTTTTTTTTTTTTACGTTATCAAAAACTGTGTAAATCTTCAGGATTCTTGTATGTAGAGGAACCAATTCTCCATGCCGTATAACTTGTTTTCACTTTAGTACAAGATCTTGTGTTTAAGATTCTAGCTAAAGATCCAGCACTAAAGATACTCTTATTATACATCTTTCAATCTACTCAACTAACAGTTACGAAAGAACCATATCTTAAGGGAACATAGCATCTTTTCCGGCACAAATGAATTAGATTAATTTGTTATTGTAAATTATACAAAAAAATCTATATGTGAAAATGCAGGTGTTACGGCAAGTATCATTTGAGATGTTAACCCCATGTAGCGATCTACATTCATATTTTTTTAAACTGAGAGAGGTAAGTCAAACAAAAGCGGAAGAAATCATCGGAAAACTTACATTGTACCACCTGTAACAGGGCCAATAGCATTGAATAGAGACATGCCTGTCATAGCAATTCCATTAGCTGCCCCTCTTTGGTGTTGTTCCTGTTTTTCAAATCAACATATTATATATGCTACAATTTCATCAATAACTACTCTAAAAAATTTTATATAATCAGGTAACAGTGAATTATCCAAAAATTTACCACTGCTCGGTTTTGTAGAAGGAGCAAACCAGTTATAATGGTCATCTAAATCCGATGCAAAAAAGTACAGTCAGTCAAATTGTTAACATACAGAAACTTTTCTGAATCAATTAAACTGATCTCCCGGTTTAGTATATCCAGTCTTAAAAATCACTAATAACCGATTACATAAATGATCAAGAGATGCACTTACAGACAGAATATTCTTCAGAATTGAAAAAATACTTAACACTATGTACAGTGCTAAGCCTGACAACGATGCTATGAAGGGGTAGCCTTGCAAAAGAGGTATGGATAACATCTGCATATGGAACCAAAATAACAGGACATATACAAATAACAAAAGATGAAAAATGTTGAAAATGAAATAATCGCCACTATCAGATGAAAACTCACCGACGAGATGCGGGCAACAGAAATAGGACCACTAGCTTTTTCCACAATTGGATATATGGTAAGTTGGTAAATAATTAGTGCAACACCTGAACATTTGAGAAGACAGTAAATTCTATCTATTTTGCAATATGAATATAAAGATCAACCATGTAAACTTTTTCTACATCTTTTTATATGAAATATAAAACTAGAGGAATAAATTTATTATGGTTGGTATTGTTCCAAACTATTATCACGCACGCTTGCCTATTCTTCATACTTCCTCTCTAGTAAAGAAAAAAGTAAAAGAACCTTGTTGTCAAACCTATACCATCCTACAGTATATAACTAGAAAATTTGAGCTGTGATAGTAATAACATATATATAAAGATCAAGTTAAATTAGTAACTTTTTGAGATCAAAATAATTTTAACCATAGAGGCAGAAAAAGATATGATATGGCTATAACATTTTATATCAATATATACTTATGCGCAGTTTGGAAAGCAAGTCTGTAAAATCCAACAAGACCAGTAAAAAGAGAAAAACACTTGAAGCAATTACCATGTGGCATCATGTGAATTCATAAAATTTATGCTCAACAGTAATAAGAATATATTGCTTGTTCCAGAGATGCACCTGATATTGAAAGCACATTACCAACATCATCAGTTGTAAAGCTCAAACCTCCCAGACTTCGAGGACTCACAGCCCATAACGAGAAAACCTAAAGAAAGCAGGATGGATGAATGCTGTTCAGTTGAGAATACATGGATAAAAAGAAGGAAATATTCTTAAACAATATGTATAAGGACATGCATAAAACATTTCTAACCTCATTTAATATCATACCTCTAAATAAGCAATATCATGAAGTGATAAAATGCAATATGCAATGATAGATGACATTAAGGGCCAATTATAGAAGAGGGTTTCGTTCTTTTGGATTATCTTTTCGTTGCCAGCCCTACTGCTTCCATTTTCTAAAGCTGTTGCATCATCTATGGATTCATTGCTACAATTGTGGTTGTGGAGTGTTTCCTGCAGGTATTTTCACAATTATATTATGGGCAATATAAACAACAAAGAAAAACTGCAGCTAAGATGAGAAAAATCTTACAAGAATGGTTTTTCAATGTAAAATGTCATTATTAAAATGTAAAAATAACATCCAAAAAACATAGAGAGGATAAAAAAATCTCTAGTCAATGAACATATATGTTGGATTGTAAGATACATACTGGAATCCAGATGCAGCCCATAGCTACTAGAAATGCAACAACAGATATAACAAAGTTGGGTAAGAAGTATGGAAACCTGCACAATGATTCATGTTTGTGAAAATGAAAATGAGCACATCGTTAAATGTTAAAATGTAGAAAGGCAAAGGAGAGTGATTGAATTCAAAAGACCACTTACCTATCCCAAAAGGAATCCTTTGGAAATATATGTGGGTACTTCTCTACTGGCTACAATGCAAATTTTCCCAAAGTATTAGAAAATGCAGATGAATAATTTCAAACATCTTTATTCCTCAACTGAATACAGAGTTTCAGGTGTGAGTCCTCTCAAAAAGCCAGAATTCTTTCAATTCAAAACAATTCAGTTAAAAACATATAATACTGTAATTGGAAAAGAATATAAAATAGTACCTGAGCCAAATAGCCTCCCAATGCTGGGCCAATAATTAAACCTATGCCCCAAGCTGCACTTACCTAAAACCAAATCACCATGTCAATGTGGAAATGCAGTTCTAAGAACTAACTATGCAAAAGAGCTGGTGATGCTTACTGTTGACAGTCCAAGAGCTTGGTGTTCTTCTCGAAAAAGTTCAGTGGTATAGGCCTGTTAAATAAATGAGTTAGCAACATAGATGTACCAATGGAAGATTGAATGAGATTCAACAAGTTAAATGTGTCCTTTAAGGTTTTTAATAGTTTTTTAAATTCAGTAAGGCACTAATTTCAATTTTATTCTCACAAAGCAATTAGGTAGGAGAGAATATTACTCAATGATCATTGATACATTTATAACATCACCTTTAGAAGTTGCTTATAAAAATTGTTTAAGAATAAAAATATTATTTTTTAATATGAACTCCAATACATGAATTACTTAGAAAAAAAATACTAATAAAAACAAACCAATTAGGTGGAAGAGTAATCAAAATATGTAGTATTAAGTGTGCTTGTAGAAAGTGTAATTATTGTCTCTTTAATTGTCAAATAATTACAAAAAAATGAAATAGAGAAGAGTGTAATAAGGACATTGTAGTAAAAAAAAATTAATTTACTAACTAATTATTTATTGTATTAATGTGTGATAATACCTAATCAACAGATAAAATGAAATGGGAGGGAATAACTACAAAAAAATTAAGAATATGATACCTTCACTGGTCCAAGCAAACAATTAAAACTTCCCAGAAGAAATCTCATGATAACAGCCATCCAAAAACTTGTGCTAAGGCCAAATAGTGTGTTGAAAATGACACTGAAATCAAGTAAGCATTGATAATTATGGGAGACATCAAAGCAAAACTTAGAAGAAAGCATGCAATTCATTGACCTATATACTTACACCGACATAATTCCTATAAATATAACGGGTTTTCGACCACAATGATCAGCTACAGTTCCCCAGAATAAAGATGTCAAACATCTCCCAAGCATAAATGCAGAACCTGCAACATTTTTTTTATCATACAGGCATCACAAATTATAAATACCTTACAAGAATTGAAGCCTTCATAAAATGGAAATGGCTAGAAGTAATCTTACCCAGATAACCAGCATAAGAACTAGTATCAGCTTCTGTTTTGGCAATGTTGAAATCCCTTACCTGAAATAATGTTGAGTTGTTGAGGATGTATTTTATGTGCATCAGCATAAAGTTAATCATTAATCAAAGATTGATTTGTTGAGTATTTAATAACAAATAACAAAAGGAAGAGCAATATTAAGCAATTAAAAGTTTACTTTGGCACATCTAGCAGTTGCATTGATCATATACTCTAGAAAATCTTCTAAATAATGATTCGGAATGGTTTTGAAATTATCTAGATTGAACACTTATCTTGACAGTAAAACTCATTCATATTTGCCAAAGAGTAAATTGCTATTTTCTATTTCTTTCTAAATTATTCAAAATAGCTGATATGCATCCAACATCAAAGTACAGTAATGGAACCAATTATTTATATAGAATATATAAAAATGCTGATTAAAATTATACTTAAATTTATTTTTGAAGGGAGTGTACACTTATCTTAAATCTTTTTTAGTTGTAATATTAAATAGATAAAAACTTCAATTGAAGTTGAACCATTAAAAATAGATAAATATGAACTTAGACAAACCAACAATGTCATAAAATCAGAGTAAACCCTTGATGGTAATTATACTCACCATGAAATAAAGGAATGGAAAGAGAGATGATATTGGCAGAGCTGTACAGGAGAAGTACATAAAGTGGTATCAGATAGGACAAAGAATGACAACCGTTAAATACTGATTTTCCATTCACAATATTAAAATTGAAAAATCCACAAAATAATTTAGAATTCAAGACAATGATGAAACAATAATTTCAATTCAATCAGTCACCACTATCTCCAAGAAAGAAAAATGATGAAGCCAAGGTCAACCTCGCTCAAATTTTAGCTATTTTAGCAGCAACCTCCAATGATAGGCAACAGCACCCCCACATGTGCCCACCATAACAGGCAACACGAAAGCAGACTATAAAATCTGTTAGCAGATTTTGACAAGTGTTGGGAAAGACTTTCTTTGCTATCAATTGAAAAGTGTTGAAAAAATTAATTTAGAAGTACTCACCAAAATCTGTAATTTTTCAACAAATTCAGTTAACAATATAGAAAACGTCAGAGAGAATATCGTTAGCATTCCTGTAGATTTCTTGCATGTTTGGTTGGTTTCGCAATGAAAGCAAACAAAAAACATGAAACATAAAAAAGTTAACTCCAAGTTGTTGCTTCCTTATCAACATGAAGAAGTAACTTGATTTCTGTGAACTCAATGCGGAACCAAAACCTACTATTCTTCTTCAAACCAAATGACATAAAGAATAGTTGTGCAACTGGTATACAAGTTGGACTTCAAGATTCAAAGAGACTATAAATATGAGATTTTCCAACATAACGCCCCAAACGTTCCAACAACACAGAACTAGAACAAAAAACTTTTGCAGAAGTTAAAATACCCAAAAGAGAGTGAAATGCTTACCAGCACATAGCACCAGCATCCACACCATAAAAAGCTTTGTAAAGGCTACACCCTGACCCTCACTCAACTCTTTGGCTTTATCCACTTCACAACCAGGACAGTTCTCGTAGTACTTCTTCCTCTCCAACAATGGCTGTTCAACATACTCCTCTGCCATGTTTGTGAGAGAACCCTACCACTTGTTTCACTCAGGTCTCTTTTTCCTACACCATTTTACATGCATCATTGAAACATATAAAAGACTATCATAAAAGACGTCAAAGTCAGTTTGTTTTGAAGCACCAAATGGAAAAGAAACAGAGGTTGAGGAAACAAACATACACACGACCAAAGGAAAAAACTCTTGGACTTGATCGTAGTTTGAGAATTCAAGAATGAACATGAATAACACAAGGTGTATGGTCTCTCATAAAGGAAGGCACATGACAAATATTGTTTTTTCAGAGCGACAAGTGTGGACCAACATGAATTATTGCACACGTCAGCACGTCACACGGTGAGAAATGGGCAATGGGACAATGATGAACTGGGAAAGATATGTGAGCAAGACAAAGTGAGTTCATCTGGATATTTAATTTTGTTTAATTCTTGAAGGAGAAAAAATACTTTAGACTGAACCAGTAAACAAGTGATTTTAGTTTATAAAGAAGAAAAAAAAAATTAAGAAGGGTTGAGAAACATGTTGAGTATTATTTGATTGAACATTGACCCAGTCTTTGTTAACTTTGCACTTTTTATTTTTTACTTTTTCATACAAAAGCAAAGATGAGATAATCAGTTCAATCTATAATAAGATTTTGAATGGTTATCAGAAATTCAAATGGATTATCAAAGATGATATAAAAAATATATCATTGATGAACCAAATCATCCATTATTCATTGTTAGAAAATGTTATTCTTAATCTAAGAACTTTTAAATATACCAATCGAAGAGCTAATAATTATTAATTAAACTTCTTAATCTCACTAATTCATTACTTCAAACTTAAACTCTGTAGCTACCTAAAAACAACTCTTACCGAATGACTAGAAAAACGTGAAAATCTGAAATTGAGAAGATTTTTGGTGCGAAAATCCAATATGCCACTACAAGATCAAAGTCAGAAATGGATAGTTCTGAAATCTTTTAAATAAATGGATAGTTTTCTAATAAATGCACATGCTATGCATGGAATTGAATGCATGATAACAAAGAAGAATAATAAATTTATTTGTTGTGTCATACAAATTATGCAGTTCAATAAAAAAAAATGTTCTATATTTAATAAATTATTTATATTTAGATTTGCAAAATAATTGTCGGGATTTGTTTTATTATTTGAAATATTAAACATACAAAATATAAAGTGTAAATGATTGGATAATAAAAATAATTCTTTTTAATCATTTAGGAAAAATATAAATATAAATTAATGTAAAATCTGTTGTCTCCTTCTATTTATTTTTTTCTTCTTGAGAATGATATTTATTTTCTATTAAAATATATTTAAGAAAACAATTAAGAGAACAAATTTTCAAAACACAATTCAACTCTATTTTTTTTTTTTGTAAATAGGTTAATTCGATAAAAATAAAAGTAGAACGAAGTAAAAATAAATAAAAAATAATAATAGATGAAAAAGGAAAAATATTTCAATAAAATAAATAAAAAAGATATATAAGAAATAGAATGAATTTAGTGTCAATATATCATAATGAAATTTATCATATTTTAGTATGAAAAGTTTAATTCAGTAAAAAAAAAAAGTTATCATCTTTAATATTAGCAACAAAACATATTAATGTGTTACATCAACATGTGCCGTATTAACATTTACCTAAAAAAAATTGTAAGGACTAAAAATAAAATAAAATTTACAAAACTATTTTTTAAAAAGGAACTAAAAATGAAAAAAAAAATATAAGAACGTAATATAAGATAAATGAATTTACGAGAATGAAAAATGAGTTAAAAACTATAAGATGAAAAACCAAAAAAAGAAAAGAAAAAAAAATTATAATTTTTTTTTTAATTTAACTATTTCTCGTATCTTTGGAGTCTACTCATCTTTTTAACACCTCATAGAATTTTATTATATATTTTCCATAGGTTTCTTTTCTACCTTTAATTTTTTGTTGGCTTCTCATTTTCATTTTCATTCCTGCTTTTTTTTTTATTATTATTAATTTTAATCCTTCTAATATTCTAAATCCATTTTCTACGGTGACGTTGAGTTATGCTAACATGACATAATTAAACTAAAAGTGAAAAATTGAAAGCTTGCAAGAATAATTAATAAAAAATTTATTGAAATGAAAAATAAAATAAAATAAAATAAAAACCCTAAACTTATTTCTCTCCTTATCATGATCCTACCAATCATAGCCATTCATTTCCACCGCCCATATTTCTATCCTTACCTTACAAACAAATAATTGATAGCATCTCTCTTCAATCATTCTTCCAACTTTAGTGTATCATGATTTCACCAATCTCATCATGCGCTAAATCAAATTCTTAAATTGTATTTTAACCTTAAGCATAATATTATATATGTTATAATTGAAAAAATAAAAACATATATAAACTCCATTTATCTTCTCTCGGATTTTTTATTTATTTGCAAAATACCCATTACACAATGTTTTGAAAAATATATTTAAATTATGATAAAAAATAATTTTTTTATTATATTAAATTATAGAATCATAAGATTATTATTAATTTAAATTGTACTTAAAATTTATTATTATTAAATTTAATTTAGGTTAATATATTATAATTTTAGTTATGACCCTGGATGAAAATTTAAATATAAACTGTATTTGTTTATTAATTTATTTAAAGCAATTCATTTATGTTTATTAAAAAAAAAAAAGTCTCTTTGAATCTATTTTCTTATTACAAAAATTTTTATTCTTTCTTTTATATTGTAATAGTCATGTATTTAGGTGTATAAGGTTATCATGAATAGTGCTTTAAAACAGAAAATAATAAGGATTTTATGGAACATTTCACGAGTAAAACAATTCGAAAGGTGCTAAATTAGTTACCACACAATTGAAGGAAGGAAATAACGGAGCATAATTTTTTTTAATTAATAAATTACAAACAAAGGGCATCAATAAATTACAAATATTTTTTAGATTAATATATAATAACAATTTTTCTAATTTTGTTATTACTAGTTTAAATTATTAAATTAATATTTTACATTTATGAATTATATACTAACACAAATCAAAATTAATAATAATCATTTTATTAAGTCACTAATTTAGTATAATGATAAAATTATTTATATTATATAAAATAATTAAATCAATATGTTTAATTTATTATTTTTTAAATATACCTTTACAATATTTTTAACTTTTCATAAAAAAATGTCAGAATTCGACCTAATTAAAAAAAAAAAAAGAGTCTAACTTTAATTAAAAAATAGGAAAGGTTTGATTTTTAAAATAATTTGGGTAAAAGATTGTTTCGGAAAAGAAAATTCATCTTTATCACATGTTCTGTTGGTATATCATTCTGGTCAATTTACGCTAATACGAAGTTTGAAAATTTTCACTCTGTGACGTGTGCAATGATGGGAGTCGCTACGGGTTCACGTTACTCACCTTCATGTGCCTTCTCATAACGTGAGAGAGACCAGACCAGACCAGACCAGACCCTGTTACTCATCATTTCTTTTTATACTTTTCAAAGCAGGTAAGGACCACCGAATAACAGAGTTTCTCCTTTGGTTCTATGTACGTTTGTTTCCATTTTCTGCTTGAAAACCACACAACTTGATATCTCGTTTTCTCATCACCTTTTTGGGTTTAAATGATGCACGTGAACTTAGTGAAGGAAGTTGGTCATCTCAGAAACATGGAAGCGGAGAATGGTGAACAGCCATTGTTGGAGAGGAAGAAGTACTACGAGAACTGCCCCGGATGTAAAGTGGACAAAGCCAAAGAGTTGAGTGAGGGACAGGGTGTGCCCGTTACGAAGCTTTTTATTATGTGGATGGTGGTGCTGTGTGCTGGTAAGCACGTCTCTATTCTGAGTTTTTAACTTCTGGAAAAGTTGGTTGTTATAGTTCTGTCTTGTTTAAACTTTTAGGGTGTTGGAAAGTCTAACTTTACTGGTTTCTTGATTACTGAAGTGCACCTGATATTCCTGTTGGACAAATAATCACTTAGATATGAACAAAATAAAGAGAACACATAAATTCAGTTTCTCGTAAATTAAAATTGAATAACGTGTAAGTTTGTGAAGTTTTCTTATATTAACTTTCCTAAATGATAATTTTAAACTTATGTGTAGAGAAGTTTATTCATTTTTTCTGAAGTGTTTGTGGAAAATTTAATCAAAGAAACCTTAACTCTATTGAAAGTCTCACATCGGCTACCTGATGTCATTTGACACGGTTTAAATACAAATTACGCTACTCCACATATTGTCAATTGGTTTTATGTTGGAACCTTAACATGGTATTAGAGCCCCTTTAGTTGGGTTTAAAGTACCTTTTGTCTGGTCCGACAGACTTCGTTGGAGGAGACGTGTTGAAAGTCTCACATTGCCTACCTCATATTATTTGGTATGGTTTAAATACATATTACGCTACTCCACATATAGTCAATTGGTTTTATGTTGGAACCTTAATAAACTCCATTTGGTTTTAGGAATAGTAGTATTTTTGGTTGTGTTGATGGATTTACTTTCTGAAACTATATATTTTTACAAGCATTCGATGCTCTGTAGCAAAACCAAGCAATGTAATCAAATCCTATGGTTCACTTTTGTGTATTGTTTATTGTGGTGGGCACATCTGGATGGGGTTGGCATAAAAATTGGTGCCTAACTTGACTGGAACTGAATATAAAGTTCACATGATACATTACGAATTTCAAATGTTACCTTAATAGTCAAAATTTTCAAAGCTAAAAAAGCAATGTTCAAGTTGTAAACTTCCTAACTATGGTTCATGCTTATAATGGTCTGTAATTGTGTACAGCTCAAGGAGTAGGGCCTTCGAATCCCATGCAAGTAGTGGGGGAGAATTGAAGTTAAATGCTAGATTGTCTTAGGGATTTTCAATTTTGATATTTTGAGTGGAAAATCAGTGTTGAATTATATGTTTTACCGGTTGTCATTTGTTTTTTATTCTCAATAAGTTGAAACTAATTTTGTCACATCTGATGCGATTCTATTTTTCTTATGCAGCACTGCCAATATCATCTCTTTTTCCATTCCTCTATTTCATGGTGAGTTTAACCATCAAAGTGGGTACTGTAACCTTTTACTTGATGCATACTCTGATTTGGTGACATTGTTGGAATTTTTCTGGGTACAAATTTTATTTATTTTTAGTGCTTCAAGTTCAATTTCAGTTTTTATTTACATAATTATTATTACAATTAAAAAATGAAGATAAGTGTACACTCCCTTCAATTTAAATAATTTAAAAACCATTCTGAGTCATTAATCAAAAAGATTTTCTTCAGTATAACTAGTACCTTTCATTCCTATCCCCTGTCAACCACAGCATTTTGTTGTGAGACTGATAATTACAACATATTAGATGTGCCAAATTCAAGTTTTAATTGCTTATTTTTGCTCTGCCTTCTGCTTTGTCATTTATTATGAAATATTCAAGAAATCAAATCTTTGATTAATGTTTAACTTTATGATGATGTAAATAAATACATCCTCATTAATGCAACATTAATTTTCAGGTAAAGGATTTTAATATTGCGAAAACAGAAGCTGATATTAGTTCTTATGCTGGTTATGTTGGTAAGACTAAATTGTATTATTTCCATTTTTGGAAGTCATCAACAATTATGTAAGTTATTTATTAGTGATGCCTGTATGATAAAAATGTTGTAGGTTCTGTATTCATGCTTGGCAGATGTTTGACATCTTTGTTGTGGGGAACTATATCTGATCGCTTTGGTCGGAAACCTGTTATACTAATAGGGATTATTTCAGTGTAAGTATATATGTCAATGAACTGCATGCTTTCTTTAAGTTATGCTTTGAAGATTCCCATATCATCAATGCTTACTTGATTTCAGTGTCATTTTCAACACACTATTTGGCCTTTGCACAAGTTTTTGGATGGCTATTATCACGAGATTTCTTCTGGGAAGTTTCAATGGTTTTCTTGGACCAGTGAGGGTATCATATTTTTAACTCCTAATAGTTAACACTTTCATGTTTTATCCACCAGTACCAGGATACAAATTTTGAATGCATGTGCATTTGGATACATAACTTCTTCAATCTGTTTCAAATATCCATTTCTACATCTTTTTGCCTAACTCCTTTATTTAACAGGCCTATGCCACTGAACTTTTTAGAGAGGAACACCAAGCTCTAGGACTCTCAACTGTAAGCATCACCAACTCTTTTTACACTGTTAATTCTTAAAACTGCATTGCCACACCAACAAGTCATGTTGTGATTATTTGCTTTTAGGTAAGCTCGGCTTGGGGCATAGGTTTAATAATTGGCCCAGCATTGGGAGGCTATTTGGCTCAGGTACTATCCATATATTCTTTGCCATCTGGATTATAACTCTAAGATACATCCTGCATAAAGCCTTGAATTTGTGTATGATAAGATGAACTGTTTTGAAATGAAAGTCTTCTTGCTTTCTGAGAAGATTGACGACTGATATTCTCTTTGTAATTGTAGCCAGTAGAGAAGTATCCAAATATATTTCCAAAGAATTCCTTTTGGGACAAGTAAGTTGACTTTAGTATCCAGTTCTCCTTTCTCTTGTCTTTCCATATTTTATCATTCCGGACCTATTTAGATAAACTTCTTCATAAACACTTATAAAGGAAGAAAAAAAAGGAAAATGGAAATAAGCTTATCTATTAACTGAAATTAGTTTATACATGAGCTAGAAGTGATCTTAGAGAAGCTAGTATAAGAAAACGTTTTTAGGATAAACTGATTTTTTGCTTATTAAGAACCTTATTACATTTTTCCTTCTTATTTTCCTTTCCAGTAAGTACTCATGGAAAACTTATCCAAATAAAATCTTAATGATGTGCTGATTTTCATTTCCCAAACATAAATCATTCTGCAGGTTTCCATACTTCTTGCCCAGCTTCATAATATCAGCATATGCATTAATAGTAGCTATTGGCTGCATCTGGATTCCAGTAAGTATCTTATGTTCCAACATATTTGTTCATCGACTATAATTTCTTTTATCTCCTTTTTGATTTGTCGATGTTACTTTAAACTTTTTTATGATTAAATTTTATAGTGAGAACGTTTTTGTATCATTTCTCAGCTCAGTTGTGTGCTTGCTCCACGGTTTATATTGTCTGGCTGACCTACAACATTCACATAATTGTTTAAAACACGTGCAGGAAACCCTTCACAACCACTATCCTAGCAATGAATCCATTGAGTATGCTGAAGCATTAGAAAATGGAAGTAGTGGCGCAAGCAATGAAAAGATAATAAAAGACAACGGAAACCTTTTTCTGAATTGGCCCTTAATGTCATCTATCATTGCTTATTGTGTCTTCTCACTTCATGATATTGCTTATCAAGAGGTATGATACATAATGTGGTTAAAATATTCTATGCTTCTCCTTTTATATATGCTGTTTTGCTCCTGCTTTTTATCCGTTTTTTTTAACTGAAGAACATGCATTCATTCTTTCATTAGATTTTCTCCTTATGGGCAGTGAGCCCTCGAAGGTTGGGGGGTTTGAACTTCACAACTAATGATGTGGGTAACATTCTGGCAATATCAGGTGCATCTCTGGAACCAACAATAAATGCTTATTTGTAGTATGGCATAGATGTTTCCTTCCTAACTTTCCTTCCATAACGATTTCATTGCACATAACTTCAATGCATTTACACGAGGTCATATAGTAACTTCTTGCAAGAGTTCTTCTCTTTTTACTGGTCTTGTTGAATGAATTTGACTGGATTGTGTTTCCAAACTTCAAATAAGTATATTTAATGTCAAACTCTATAGCATCTCAAATATCTTATCCTTTTGTGCCTACGTGGGAAGAATTAGTTTGATCTAAGAAAGTTACTATGTTAGTTTTACAGGGTAAATGTTCAGCTAGATCCTTAAATGTGTGAAAGTGCTACCAATTTAGTCCTTCAAAGAACATAAGATCTAATGTAGTCCCTGAATATGTTTATGAATAGATCCCTGAATATTTTTATAGCTTAATGATAGTCCGTGATATAGTGTTCAATTGATTTTTGAAATTACATGTAGAAGACAAAATGGTTTTGTGAAACTTATAGGGAAGACAATTAAACCCGTACCTGTGGGACTGACCTATCCCTGCCCCGAGTGTGACGGGTAAAACCCGAGTTGACGGGGGCGGGAACGGGTTCAGGTTTTTCCTGCTTTAAAAAGTCGGGGCGGGCGGGGATGGGTAATGCAATCTCCACCCCGACCTCGTCCCCGTTCTCGCCTCGACTTTATATTTAAATTTTAAAATATTAATATTTTAAAAGTATTTTCTTTTCTGTTTCTATTACATATAAAGTCATTTTTTTTATATTTCACTATTTTTATTTTTCTTCTACCTACTTTCTAATTTTTTTTTATCTTTTTTAATCTTTTATATCAATTAATTTATTACATTATTCTCTCTTACCTTTCTGTTTTTTCACATTTCCTTAATCTCTCCCATCAATTTGTTTTTTTTTAATCTTTTCAACCAATTTGATGAACACAAAGTTAATTTTTTTCTCTTCTTTATCTTTTTCTAAATATTTTACATAAATATTAGTAATAACTAATATTATTTTATTTATATTTATTAGATTTTATTATGTCATAATTTTTTATCTTATTATTCTTATTCATCATATATCAAATTTTATCTTAATAAAATATATTTTAAAATATTAAAAGAAATTGATAATTTAAACTTTTATTACTTCGAACTAATTAAATAAGAATTAACTTATTAAATATTTTCTTATAAACTATAAATTTAATATTTTTAAATGAGAACTTAACAATGAATTAACTTATATATGTAATCAAATGTTTGAATATAATAATAATAATAATAATAATAATAATAATATTATTATAAGTATTCAAATATTTGAATACAGTGTTATAATAATAATATTATAAATATTCTCTCTCTATATATATATATATAAAATGATTAAATATCTTTTTTACATACATATTTTAATATAAATATAATATATATATATAGATTTAATTAATAATAATTATAAATTATAAAATTATAAATATTTATCTATATATAAAAAATATGTAGTAAAATTAATTTATTATAAATGTAATTATTTTTTTAAAAATAATATAAATCGGAGACAGGGTGGGGCGAGGAACCTGAAATCCAGCAGGGATGGGACTTAATTTATAACTCCGGCGAGGATCGGAAGTGGGGGACGAGAATGATTAAAACATGGAACTTAACAACAGGTTCTTTAATCTTTATAAAGGAGGAAGCATGAACAATTAGCAAGTTTGCATTAGAACCTGTTTGGATCAGTGTTGATATTGTACAACACCAATTGGAAGTTGAACCACATTAAATTTATTCCTCTAACCCTATACTTCTAATAAAATAATTGAACTTTGGGTTTGACAGTGACAAAGATGTAAAATTTTATTTTTAGTGTTTTTACATTTCTACTGCCTAATAGATATTTTGTATCATTACTGACTTTTCAAATGTTCAGGTTTTGCACTTATAGTTTACCAACTTACCTTGTACCCATCTGTGGAAAAAGCTAGTGGACCTATTGGTATTGCCCGCATCTCAGCGGTAAGTGTCAATGTAATTGTGGCAATTGTTTTATTTCAACATTTCATATTTTGTTATTTGAAATATGTCCTGTTACTTTGGTTCCATATGCAGATGTTATCCATACCTCTTTTGCAAAGCTACCCCATCATTGCATTGTTGTCAGGCTTAGCACTATACATAGTGTTAAGTGTTGCTTCAATGCTGAAGTATATTCTGTCTGTAAGTGCACCTCTGCATTTGTTTAATTGTTTATTAGGGATTTAAATTATATATACTAGACCTTGGGAGATTATTTAAATTGATTCAGAAAAGTTTCTGTAAGTTACAAATTTGACTGACTGTAGTCTTTTTATGGGATTTAGATCACCATCGTAACTGGTTTGTTCCTTCAACAAAACCGAGTAGTGGTAAGTTTTTCGATAACTTTTGGTCTTTTGAATGTATACAATGGTTGAGACTAGTTATTGATGGAATGGTGGCATGTAACAGGAACAACAGCAAAGAGGGGCAGCCAATGGCATTGCTATGGCAGGCATGTCTCTATTCAAAGCTATTGGCCCTGCCACAGGTGGTTCAGTGTGAGTGTTCCTCTGATTTCTTCAGCTATGTTCGACTAACCCTAGTTAAAAAAATGTGAACGTAGATCTCCACAAGGGATTAATGTTTCAAATGATATCTGCTGTAACAAAGTAATGAAAAAAATTATGAGAGATAGTTAGTTTTCTGCTAAAACCAACTTATAAAGAAAGTTTGTACCTCACTTACATATTACAATTTACTCATATATAGTCAACATGAGATTTCTAATAAATTCATTAGTAAGCAAATGATTTTATATTAACAGAGGTTTTTCACCACTTACTTTCTGTCTCCAATTTTTTTATATGATCATGGTCAATGCAGATTAGCTTGGTCACAAAAGCGGATGGATTCTTCATTCCTCCCAGGTTTGGTGCTGAAGTTGTTTATTTGTGCTGGTTGCTTTTTTATATATGAAAGATGGGAACCCTTTGTCTAAGTTTATAAGTCAATAACTTTTTCTTTTCACATTCAGTAACACAGTCCTTAAGAGCATTGGTGGGTAGTAGTATTACTATGAGCTTACTACCAGTTTTCATTTAACTGCAGGCACCCATATGGTGTTCTTTGTCTTGAACATAGTTGAAGCAGTTGGATTACTAATGATGTTCAAACCATTCTTGGTTGAAAAAAAGAAAACACACACAGATCAATTACAGTGATCCCAGTCAATTTTGCAGAACGCACATAGCATCACTTTGAGCTATTGTTGTCTATCATTGGGGGAACTGCTGATGGCCACACATTGTACCCCATTTTGTGTAGAGATTTAATGCACACAATTGAAAGTATGTGGCACGATGCAAAAAGAGGTGGAAGGAATACGTCATTAGGCTTTAATTTTCATTGATTGTATTTTTCCAAAGATGGTCCCTTGTCCCAAATTTTGGAATATGACTTATAAAGTTAAAAAAAATAAAAATATATAAAAAAAATTCAATAAGGTTATAATAAAAGATGAATTTAAATATAAATAAAAAATATGCATATTTAAATAAATTTGTAGTGATGTGAATAGGTATAACTATTAATTGTTTTAGTAATAGGCTTTGTTTTTTTTTTAACAGCACATATGGCAATCCATTTGTGTGTACAAGAACCCTCTCAATTGTCTAATGGTCTGCAGAGGCCAATTAATCATTACTTCTATTTTACTTGGGTGAGTAGATACCCCTGCACTTGATATGAAGTGACCAAGATATTCCACCTTATTGACTGCAAAGTAGCACTTGCTTTTTTTAGCAAACAAAAAATTGGTTGTAAGAGTAACACTTGTTTGAGATGGTCCAAGTGTTCCTCCAAACTCTTACTGTATACCAAGGTATCGCTTCCGTCAACCTGAAAAGTTGCTGCTGAGACCAAATGGTATTATTACATAATCATAATCACCTCCATAAGTTTTAAAAGTTGTTTTGTATATATCCATAGGAGCCATTCGAACTTGATTATAATCAGCCTGAGATCAATCTTGGAAAGGATCTTGGAAAGGATTAGCTCATCCAACAAATCATCCACCAGGAACTTAATTATCGCAGTCGCTTATTAATCGGGTCACTTCCCTGTACCAAGGGTATTGTGTGATCATAGCCTTCCCGATAAGGCGATAATTGTGCTGGCTCCTGAAAAATATCCTCAAACTGCTGGAGAAGTTGCTCAACAACAATTGGAACTGTTGACTGGTTTGCATGCGTGGTGAGGGACTACAACAGACCATCCTCCTCCTCTGCACAAACCTGCACAATTGCCAAGTGCACTCTTGCTGTTATGATCTTATCAAACTGTAGTAGACTTGATATTAAGAGTGGAAACACCCCGTAACACATGTCTTTTCCCTTGAATTCGAAATTCCATCCTTAATCTGTCAAAATTCCAAATAATATCACTAAGAGTAACCAACCATTCTATTCCCATAACTAAATCACAAGAGAAATTAAAAACATATCTGATGTAAACATAGTTTGCTGGATAGTCCATGAAAATCACTTAACCATGGAGGTAACTGTTAATGTAGAACCATTAGCTACCACCACCCTAGATGGGAGGCCGCTTCTCAATTATGCACCCGAACTTTTGAGCCATATGAGTATCTAAAAAATTGTGTGTAGAGCCACTCTCAATCAAAATATGTAAAGGCTTTTTTGTTTATACCGTGATTCTCATAGTTCTGAAATTGGTTACCCCAGTCAAAGCATTAATAGATATCTGTGGGGACTCCCCTTCCTCCCCTGAATATGAATTATTGGCTGCCCCAAACGATTCCACCGAGTCCTCCGCTTCATCCTCCACTTCAATCACATGCAGTTGAATTTTCCTGTGTCAAACTATGTTCTTGGGAGTATGGCTCATAAAAAAATAGCATAACCTTTGCCCGACGCTCACTCATATAAGCAGGGTTTAAATTCTTATTCTATCTTTTAATTGAGGCGAATCCTTCAATAGAATTAGGATTCATATTTGATGTTAGAGAAGTATTTGATGTTAAATTAACTTACAAAAAAGTAAAATAAACTTTTTTAAGAGATGTTCGTACAGAGATATCCATAATCAATAATCCCTTATGACAAATTTGATGCACCTGGTTTCCCTATCTGTCCTCAATAAAAGACAAGTGTGATATGCCTTTTGCACAATTGGGTGGAATCAGTGTAACTGATCTGAGTGTGTTTTCTTCTTTTCAACAAGGAATGGTTTGAACATCATTAGCAATCCAACTGCTTCAACTATGTTCAGGACAAAGAACACCAAATGGGTTCCTGCAGTTAAATGTACAAAAATAAGCAACTTCTAATACAGCCAACAAAAATCAATGCTCTTAAGAACAATACTGACATCATTGCCTAGGTAGACTATACTACTTTATTGTACCACCATAAACATACGGTCTATTTAAACACATGAATCCACATGTCATTCATTTGCTTTTCTCTTTGTCCTTGAATGGTATTGGGAATAAATGCAATATCCCAACTTATGTCCATATTATTATAAATAAAGGCAATATCTGAACTTAGGTCCACTTTGACAGAAATAATTGCAATTTGTGAACTTAGGTTCACCAAGATTAAAAGGGTCTTGTTGTCGAAGAGTGATAGACTTTATACTGTTGCTAAATGCGAAAAGAATGTAGTGATCCAACTTTCCAAGTGATAGACTTTATACTGTTGCTAAATGCGAAAAGAATGTAGTGATCCAACTTTCCAAGTTAAATTAAGATAAACAATTTCACACCTGATAATCAATGCAATTACGAAGAATGTAACAACATTGCACGAAGCATTTTATGAGGTTGTTTAACCCCATTTTTACAAGCAGTTAGACAACCCTGAAATGATAAACTACTGACATTTAAAGATAAATTAAGGGTTCCCATCTTCCATAAATTATACAGAAACCAGCACAAACACATTAGTTGAGCATTATACCTGGGAGGAACGAAGCATCCATCCGCTTCTGTGACCAAGTTAATCTGCATTGACCATGAACATATAAGAAAATTGAAGATAATTTTGAATGCATCGTAGTTGTGGCTAGAACACTTAATTACCCCACTTTCACTAGGCCAGGCATCACATTGGAAAGTTGTCATGCATATCCTTTTATACCTCAAAAATTGTCATTACAGTTGGAGGCACTAGGATACTAAACTAACATGCGACAATCAAGTTACTATTCACATTACGTCAAATCTAGTCTTTCATCAATGGACCAAACACAAATAGATTGGCTGTCACTTTGTGAGAGAGAAGGTGCTCTCAAGAGAAATCATCACTGACTTTGTTAACTCTACTGACCAACCTGTTGACATGTTCACTAAAACCCTCAGAGACCCCTGTGTGGATAGCATATTTAACAAGCTTGGCTTATATGACATATATGTTTCATCTTGAGGAGAAGCGTTAGAGATATTTAATGATGTTTAGAGACATAATTTGATTATATTAAATAGGGAGATATATCTTAAAGAATATTTCTGAATATTATATCCCTTCATTATAAATAAAGGTACTCGTGTGTACAGATCACACAATTACAAGTAATCCTCTCTATAATATGAAAGAACCATATCATAAAGTAACTTAATTAGTACGAAGTTTCAGGCACAGATGAATTGTACTAATCTATGTTATTATAGATCATATATGACAATTCCTGTACAATAATATGCAAGTGTTACAGCAAGTATCATTTGAAATATTAGTCCATTGTGACATTTTTTTAACTGACTCGAAAATTGAACAAAAGCTGAAGAAATCCTAGGAACACTTACAATGCACCAACTGTAGCAGGGCCAATAGCTTTGAATAGAGACATGCCTGTCATAGAAATGCCATTAGCTGCCCCCCTTTGGTGTTGTTCCTGTTTCACAAATCAACATGTTATCATCAACAACCAGTCTCCACCATTGTAAAGAAACTAAAGAGAATGAAATTATTCAGCAATTTACCACTGCTCGGTTTTGTAGAAGGAACAAACCAGTATTAATGGTCACCTACATGCAATAAAATGTACCATCATTCAAATTTAGACCTTCAACCACTAACAAATGATTAAGTAAAATGCTTCACTTACAGACAGAATATTCTTCAAAATTGAAGCAATAGTTAACAGTGTGTATAGAGCTATGCCTGACAACAGTGCAATGAACGGGTAACTTTGCAAAAGTGGTATGGCTACCATCTAGCATACAGGACCAAAGTAATAGAACATATTTCAAATAACAAAATATGAAATAATGAAATTCAATAATTGCAACAATTAGGTGAAAACTAACCCCTGAGATACGGGCAATACGAATAGGTCCAGTAGCCTTTTCCACATAAGGGTATACGGTAAGCTGGTAAATGATAAGTGCAAGACCTGAACATTTGAGAATTAGATCAAGTAGCCTTTTCCACAAATGGTTATTACGAAATAGGAACACAGGTAACAACACTAGATGTAAACTTTTTTTGCATCTTTGTCTGTCAAACCCAAAGTTCGAACAATATTGATAAAAAAGTAAACATTGGTCCAAACTGATTATTTCCAGACTTGCCTATTGTTCCTGCTCCCTCTTTTATAGATATAAAAGAACCTTACTGTCAAAGTTTTGTCATTCTGGAGTGTCATAAAATAGAACATTTCACAAGAAATAATAATATAGAAGCATGAACAGATGTACTATTATGGACTTCAGTTTGACCAACAATACACAATTGAAATAGTAATTTGTTTAGATAAAGTAGTTTTTACCATAAACAATTGACTAATCCTGATTTAGGCACATAAAGATAGGATATTTGAGATGTATGTTGCATTTGATATCAAAATGCGCTTATGTGAAGTTACAAAGCCACATTCAAAATGTGATCCTAGGTCAAGAATCACATTCTCAGAATGTACTAAATTATGGACATGACCAAGTGATGTCCAGACAACCAACAATTAGAAACTCAAGTTAGTAATATTCATTCAGCAGGACAAGCAAAAAGAGAAAAACCCTTGAAGGAAGTCATCAACAGTAATAACATCTACTTTTGGTTTCAGTGAGGCACCTGATATTGAAAGAACATTACCAACATCATCAGTTGTAAAGCTCAAACCGCCCAGTCTTTCAGGACTCACAGCCCATAACGAGAAAACCTAAAGAAAGAAAGATGAATGGATGTTGTTTAACTCAAAATGCATGGCTAAAAATCAGGAAAATCCAAACAGGATATGTTATAAGACATGCATTGACTGTTTTTAACATCAATAGTATCATACCTCTTGATATGCAATATCATGAAGAGCAAAAACACAATAAACAATGACAGAGGACATTAAGGGCCAATTCAGGAGGAGGTTTTCATTCTTTTGGATTATCTTGTCTTTGCCTTCCACACTACCTCCATTCTCTAGAGCTTCGGCATTGTCTATGGATTCATTGCTACATTTATGGTTGTGAAGTGTTTCCTGCAAGTACTAAAACAATTATATTGATGTGGGAGACAGACTAAACAATATAGACAGTGAAAACAAGCTTATCTGAACCAAAAAAAATCATAAAGATATGGTTCTGTAGAATAAAATTCCATCATAAAAATGTTAAAAGTAAAATCCACAAAACATAAAGAGGAGAGGATAGAAGCATCTGTAGTAAATGACAGATATATTTTAGATCCTACAATACATACCGGAATCCAGATACAGCCAATAGCTACTACAAATGCAACTGCTGATATTACCAAGTTGGGTAAGAAGTAAGGAAACCTGCAGAATGATTTATGTTTTTGCAAATAAAATCAGCACAACATTAAAGAATAAATGGGTAGAAAGAAATACACAAGAGGAAAATTGAATCCTTAAATTTTATAAAATTAAAAGCAGAACTCCACTTACTTATTCCAAAAGGAATCCTCTGGAAATATATTTGGGTACTTCTCAACAGGCTAAAATAAAAATAAATAAATAAATAAATAATTGCAGTGCTAGAAAAACAAGTGACAAATGTGCACATAAATGTTAGTGATAACTTCCAAACTTGTGTACTTAACAATGGAAAATGTCAAAAATATGCAGAAGACCATGTTTTTAGTATGACATGTTTTCAAAAACTTGTTATCCTAAAATATATACGGAATTTCATGCATTAAAATTCTTTAAATCCAGAGGCCTTTCAATTTAAAACAAGTCATCAAATTAGTAAATATAAAATTGAAGGATTTTTTGTCAGATGCATCTTATACTCCCAATGGCAGAGAATTTAGGTAGTACCTGAGACAAATAGCCTCCCACTGCTGGACCAATGATCAAACCTATGCCCCAAGCTGCAGTTACCTAAAAGAAAATCACAATTTTAATTATTATTGTGCAAATGTAGTTCTAAGAACTAGTAGTATGAAAGAGTTGGTAATGCTTACTGTGGAAATTGCTAGAGCTTGGTGTTCTTCTCGAACAAGTTCAGAAGCATAGGCCTGTTAAATAGAGGAAAACAGATATGTATAAATGGAAATATGAATGAGATTTAACATGTGATATATCATAATCAAATATTCAATATTTTGTATCTTGGTAATCGTAGATGAAAATGTTCAGTATTTGGAGTTAAATACCTTCACTGGTCCTAGCAAACCATTCAAACTTCCCTGAAGAAATCTCGTGATCACAGCCATCCAAAAGCTTGTGCTAAGACCAAATAGTGTGTTGAAAATGACACTGAAATAAAGTAAGCATTGATAATTATAGGACGCTGAACAACATATAGAAAGCTATCCAATTCATTGACAGACATACGTACACTGCAATAATCCCTATAACAATAACTGGCTTTCGACCATAGATATCAGCTACAAATCCCCACAGTGCAGATGTCAAACATCTGCCAAGCATGAAAGCAGAACCTACAACATTTCACATCATACACGCATGACTAATAAATAACTTACAAGAACTGTTGAAGAATTCAAAAAATGTAAATAACAGAAGTAATCTTACCAACATAACCAGCATAAGAACTAATATCAGCTTCTGTTTTTGCAATATGAAAATCCCTTACCTGAAAATAAATGTTGCATCATCAGCATTAAGTTAAACATTAAAAAAATGTGATTTCTTCAATATTTAATAACAAATGTCAAAGCAGAACTGAGAGCAATAAGGAATTAAAGTTTTTCTTTGCCCCATCTAACATGTCATTATCAGTCTCACCGCAAAATTAAACAGTTGAGAATGAATAGAAGTTGGTATATTATATTGAGGAAAAAAAGGAAGGGAAATTGGTATATTGAAGAAAATCTTCTTATTAATGAACCAGAGAGGCTTCTAAATTATTTAGATTGAACATTGTTCTGTTATTGAAGCCATTAACCATTTGTTTGTGTTAAGGTTCTAACATTAAATCAATTAGCAATATGTAAAATAGCCTAACACATGACATGAGACACACGACGTGAGTCTTCTAACAGTTTGCATGCCAATATTATGGAACTAATTACACATACATACATACATACATATATATATATATATATATATATATATATATATATATATATATATATATATATATATATATATATATATATAAAAACGATTAATACGAATAAAAACTGATTTGAACTTTAAGTGCGCTATAAAGAAATGTGTTCAGCCAACTTCCAACAAGGGGACAAAATCAGAGTATATCAAGTGAAAAGGCAACAACAGTAAACCCCAGTAGATAGTTAAACTCACCATGAAATAAAGAAATGGAAAGAGGGATGATATAGGCAGAGCTGCACAGGACAAAATAAAAATAAAAATAAAGTGATGTAAGATAAGACAGAGTAGAAGACACTGTTTTTTGAGCTAAGGTAATCAAGTTCAGACATTCATGAGAAAGATTAACAACCATATGAAGTCAAACAGTCACCTCAAAGGGGTGACTTTTTTTTCTTTCTAATTTGCTCCAAGAAAAGAGAAAAAAAAAATAACAGAACTTATGAAGTGTAAAACTTAAAAGGGACAAGTATTGCAGTTTAGCAGAAAAATTAAGTGTTATGTAACAATATATTCAGTTTGTGTTATGAGGATAAGCTCCAATTTTAATTTGCCACCATGGCTTAGCCAGTTTAGCAACTCTTGGAAACAGACAAAACTTGAAAAATACTTGTTTTGCAGTTTTAGCTGAAAAGATTAACACTAAGGTAAAAAGTCAACTTTAAATTCAGTTTGAGTTCTGAAGCTAGCACCAATTTTTATATGCTAACCTCGCTGAACTTTAGCTAGTTTGCAGCCCTCCAGGGAAACTGTGTTTATCTGATTTAAAAGCACATGAGAGCAAGCAATAATTCTAGATGACTCTAGGGAGAAAGACCATTGTTACTACATGTTGATAAATTGCTCCACTCTTCGAATATGTTGTTGGGGTTTCATTCCTAGTCATTTATGAAGAAAAAAATTATTGAAAAGGACAAAACCACCCTATATTTTCTGCACCTACAAAGAAATTAGTCGGTATCTACCATTCAAGATATCTTGGATGAAAAAAAGAAAAAGAAAAACATAGAAGTCAAAAATACCACAAAGCCTAAAATGGAAGAACTTGATAAAATGCACAAAATACATGATTATGAAACACACTCCCAGAGAGGAAGCCTAGAAACGAAAGAATAATGATTCTGATATTAATCAGCCAAATACTGAGAATCTAATGTCATTGCAAACATTTGTATACAAGAAGAAAAGACTAACTGATAAACAACAAAAACTCAACTGATCCAGAAGTGAAAATAGTGCTGATTGAATTAAGCTTACCAGCACACAAAACCACAGTCCATATGATGAAAAGATTTCTGACGGGTACACCCTGTCCTTTACTCGACTCTTTGGCTTGATCCACTTGACAACCGGGACACCCCTCGTAGTACTTATTCTCCAACAATGGTTGTTTGAAATTCTCCTCTTCCATGTTTGTGGGATAACCCCGCCACTTGTTTCACTCAGTTCCCTCTACACCATTTTACATGCATCATGCAAATTTCAACCAAATGGAGGAAAGCAAAGGTTGAGAAACAACTGAAAGAGCATCTCCAAAGCACTTGTTATCCTTAGATATTTTGAAATAAAAGGGAATATTTTATTATGAATTAGTGGTTTGATAATTGAGAAAATAAAAGTAAAAAAATTATTTGAATAAATAATTGTAACCAAATTTTAAGGAACTAAAAATAGAGTGTACACTAAGTATCAAAATAGGTTTAGAGATCAAGTAAAAAGTTTTAAAAAATAGATTAGATTAAATAATTTATAATTTAAATAAAATTAGGTTAATTTTAGTCTGATTTATTTATATCAAATCTAAATTTAGGTGTGATTAACTCATAAATTTATATTCTTATCCGATGTATAAAATATTAATTATTTTTATAATAAAATAAAAATACTATTTTATAAAAATATATATATATAATAAATTGTTTTTATATTCATGATAGATGACAAAGAACCTCATCAATGTTTATGGGACCAGACAAAAATATGGTCAACTTTATAAGTTGGAGCTGAATTTCTTGTCGGTAGAATTATTTCAGTAAGTTGTGTGGCACTCCTCATCTCAACATTGAATACAATGAGAGGGAAAAAGACAGTAAAAAAGGACGGAAAATGATACTTTTACAACTTAATTCTATGTAAATAATTTTATTTTAATATTATAATAATAAATTTATTTTATTTTTATTTTTATTAAATTAATCTATAAATTATTATATTAATAAAGTGAGTTGAATGAAGGATTTTGTCAAAATATCACCACTAAAAAGGGACACCACTACACACATCAGACATGAAAGAGACAAGGCATTAGTTGCTTATTAAACATTATGATTAAAATTATAAAGGGTGTTAGTTGAATTCACGGTTAATATAAATAGCATAACGACAAAGTCAAAAGATACCTTCTCATCACACCACCAGCTTTTGTATTATTTTTTTATTACATATATTTTCATTTATACTTTAAAACTATATTATATATAATATTTAAAAAATAAATGATAAAAAGTATATTATAATAATAATTCAAGCAAGATATAAAATAATTTTAAAATAATAATATTGAGGGAAAAAAATCATTAAAAAGTTATTATTCAACTCATATAATGATCACAACGGTATTTCTTAAATAATGATTTAAAATTATATATTATTCTAAAGTTATGGATTAAAAAAGAAAATAATTATAATTTGAAAGAATTATATTTATTATATCTATTAATATTTTTAAACATAAAAATAGGGGTGTCAAAATAAATTTAACGCAATAGGTCACATCGAAAGTTTCAAAAAATAAGTTAGTATAGGCTAAAAAATTTATGGTCTAAATAGAATCAGACAAATTTTGGTCTAATCTATTTAGGTCGAGCCTAAATGGACTTAGGTTAGGTTAATCCAGTAAACTTATGGATCGACCCGTTTTATAAAATAATAATTACTTTATCAATAAAACAAAAATAATATTATTTTATTAGAAAAAAAAATATATATATATATATATATATAATAAATTAATTTGATAATATATTTTGTTATATATATATATATATATATATATATATATAATTTAGAAAAAATAATAAAATCTAAACATAATCTTCATTTACTTTGACCATCTTCTTCTTCTCACATTTATTTTTAAGGACTAATTATTTAAGACGACATATTCTTAAATAAAGTGTATTTCCAAAGTATAATGATGAGGGAGTTAGGTTGGATAATAAAACTAGTATGTTGAAGTAATGAAACTTTAACTTTGACTCTAAATTTTAGACGGATGCAATTGTTAGATGTATTATTAAGCATGACATTTAATTTAGCTACATTGAGTATAAGGGAGTTTGAGAGGTAAATAAAGTTTTAAATCCTGATTTTAAACAAATTACTAGCAATGATTTAATTACAAAAGTTTATAATGTATATTTAAGAAAAAATAAAAAGATGTGTTATCTAATATTTCTTATCTAACCCTTCTATTGTAGGTGGAACATCACTTAGGCTAGATGGATGACGTTGAATTTTTTGAACATAACCATATTTTTGAAGGACACGTTCTGGCAAGTGTAGATGGGAAAGAGAGCTCAATCTAAGGTACCCCGAGAACATAGTAATAAACTCAAATGGTTAGGCTTCCCTATGATTCCCATATGGCATCTATATCATTGCATTTAGTGACAGATGGTCTAGCTAAAAGCGGATGGAGGCAACAATCAATAATCTACCAACAACAAACTTCATACAACATGGAGATTTCTCATCATAATCCTCCACCATATCTCTAAAACCTAATCCAGGGAAATGCTCATATATTTAGGCCTATTTAAATAAAAAAATAAATAAATGATCATTTCATGTTAAGCTAACATAATAAAGGAATCAAATGATGTCATTATACCTGTAATAAAATTGAATATCCAACTAACTATTTTGTGTTGGCATAAGATGCATCATTGAGTTGCTCATGCATATGGGTAAGTGCAGCTGCTCCCCGAGAATATTCACCACAATTGGTCCGATCTCGAAATAAACCAAAATATAATACACTAATGAAAGTTGCACTTTTATCAGCAAAAATAGTACAACCCACTAGATGCATCAAATAAGCTTTAGTTACAATTTTCCATCTTCTGTGTGTACAAGCATCATCATACACTTCTCGCAACCAACTAAGACGAACATGCCCACCTCGACAATGTCTCGTCTATGCAGAAGCCATCTCAAAATCAAATCCTAAGAGCTCTACCAGCACATCAACCGCATCACATGCTTCTAAGTGGTTAATAACACATAATTAGCCAACAATTGACAGGTGCAATAATGAAGGCACATAATCTAGTGTGATGGTTATATCACCTTTGGGCAGATGAAAGCTACTAGTCTCACTATACCATCTCTTAGAAAATGCAGATAATAGTCCCTTATCTACCGTCTCATAAATAACACCCACAAGTGCTTCTAACCCTAATAACTGAATAGTAGTCGCAATCTGCAGTGTGAATCCCCCAACTTATTCATTTTTCTTTCATGAAAAACACATTTTAACTCCTCATGATCCTATAAGATACACTAATTTATGTTTAAATTTTATAATATTAATCTTTATATACACTAAGTTATATGAGAGACACTTACTACTCCCTCCGATATACTATGGACGACATAATTTTCATATCTGATTAATGAAGAAGGATCTACATGTCCTCCTGAAAAAGATTGATCATGTGTTGGAGGATTTTGATATTGTTCATCTACTAGAGGATTAACAACACTTTATTCCTCATGAGCCCTATGTATTATACATGCAATTGGACGAAAGAGGTAGTTGGGCGAACACGATCTGTGGATTAAGAACCACCTCCCCTAGTCCTAACCATAATGCAAAATTACACTACACAAAAAAGAGATCATCAACATAGGAACAAAACATTTTTGGAATGCATTCCGAATTGGCCTTTTTGGAAACACATTTCGGAACATCTAATTTGAATTGCATTTTTGGAAAAGACAATCCAGAAATGCATTCCGGATTGGATGTTCCGAATGTATTTCTAGAAATTCTAATTCGAAAATACATTATGGATTGGGTGTTCTAGAATGTTTTTCCGAAAAAACCAATCTTGAAATGTATTCCATATTGGGTGTTCTGGAATTCAACCTCATTTTCGCATATTGCGCAATTTAGGTTTGTTTATGCAATTTGAGAGCAAGAATATGCAATTCATACATAATATTAACGATTATTTACCTTTAATTGTTAGAAAATGTCTTCAATGAAGGTGATAGCACAAAAAAAATCAAGGGATGGAGGTGTTGAGGAATGTATTTCTAGAAAGTTCAATTTGAAAATACATTCTGGATTGGATGTTCCGGAATGTATTTCTAGAAAGTTCAATTTGAAAATACAATCTAGATTGGATGTTCCGGAATGTATTTCTAGAAAGTTTAATTTGAAAATACATTATGAATTGGGTGTTCTAGAATTCAACCTCATTTTCGCATATGAGCAATTTAGGTTTGTTTGTTCAATTTGAGAGCAGAAACATGTAATTTATACATAATATTAACGATTATTTACTTTTAATTGTTAGAAAATGTCTTCAATGAAAGTGATAGCACAAAAAAAGAAAAAAAAAATCAAGGGATGGAGGTGCTGAGGAATGGTGGTGTAGAAGTTACACAAATAGAAGAAGAAGAAGTTAGGATAAAAAACAAAAATATGAAAAAAGGTATTTTAAATATTTGACTTAGAGTATGAAGGTGCAGAGAGAAATTATAGAAGTGTAGGAAGCAAGAACCTTTGATTAAATACAAAATGGGTAGGTGAGTTAAAGAAAAAGTGATCTAATATTCATATAATATTATGGATGGAGTGTTAAAATTTAATTATGAGATAAATAAAAAAATCAAGTTAGATATCTTATAAATAAAATGTACAAACTTATGGTCATCCTATAAAAAATGAAATTATTATTTTTTAATGATTATTTTGATATCCATGGTTGAAGAGCAAACTAATTACTCCATCATAAATATCATATTTAATGTTTTTTTTTCTTACTTAACCTCTCTAAATATATGATAATAGCATCATTTTGTCATGTATAACAATATTTTAAACCTTGATCTTCTTAATTTTTGTCTAAACATAATTTATAATCAATTCTCGTTTCAAAACTTATATATATTTCGTTCAAATGAAAAATTTATACTTCACCAATTATCATATTAATAGTCCAAGAATGTATTAACCCTCAAGTTAATCAAGTAGCCCGAAAGCCTGTGATAAAATAAACATACAACATATCTCAAAAAATAAGAGAACCATTAGCATTAGGGGTGTCAAAGTGAGCCAACCCGTCACACGGTCGCTCACCACGGGTTGAGCTAAAAATAGATGAGCTCAATCCGGCTCAC